GGGGGGGGGTCCTGTTTAGACCTCCGGCAGGCCGCGTGTGGGGGAGGGGCGTCAGTGGATGCATTCCTAAGCAGGGTGGGATCCTCCAAGGCAGGGCGGGCTTGGGGGGGTCCTGTTTAGACCTCCGGCAGGCCGCGTGTGGGGGAGGGGCGTCAGTGGATGCATTCCTAAGCAGGGTGGGATCCTCCAAGGCAGGGCGGGCTGATCGCGGGATCCCGAGGGTGGCGCCGCAGTCCTCAGGCCCTTCTGAGCCCCCTGACCTCCACAGAGAGAGATCCAGGTGGGGTCGCCCTGTTGGTCTGAAGCAACAGGACCACGTGTGAGTCCAGGGGCACCTTCAAGACCAACCAGGTTTCATTCGTTGTTGGTCGTAAAGGTGCTCCTGGACTCAGACTTGGTCCTGACTTCCGTAGAGTCGGAAGGGTGCAGCTCTGTTTCGGGTTGCCCTGGATCTGGAGCAGGTGGCAGGTAGACCTTTTGGCCTCTGCAGTTCTGTCGATCAGGGCCTTGTGCAATTGAGGGAAGGCAGGAGGGCCGGAGATCTTGGCTTTCCCCAGAGAATCCTGCATGAAGATGCGATTGGGCCCTGGGAAGGTGCTTCTCCCAGTCGACTCTGGAATTTATGAGACAGAAAGTTCACATTCGTGACGGGCTTTGCCTTTAGAATTGAGCCCTTCTTTTGCAAACTGAATAAGTGTGCAAGCATACAAAAGCTTTTGGGGGGTGGTGAGTATTTGTATGAGTCTTTATATGTGGCCACCTCTGGTGAGTGACCCCTACTGGGGTCCTGGAGGGTATTCAGAGAGGTGTGGCTGAATAAAGCCTGCCCCCGCTGGTATTCCTTGGAGGTCTCCCGTGTAAGTACCTGCCAGGGTCGACCCTGCTTAGCTTCCAAGATCTGATGAGATCGGGCTTGCCTGTCCTGTCCAGGTCAGGGCGATAGGAAAGCGTATACCCCTAATAAAACTTTATTGGTCTGAAAGGTGCCACTGGATGCAAACTTTGTTCTTTGGCAACTTGTCAAAGCTGCCCCCCCCCCCCACTTAGGCAGAATATCTTTTTTTTTGGTCTGCCGGTTTGCCCTCCCTCCCTCCCTCAACCAGGTGGACTTCAGGGAGCAAGGAGAGAATCCCTGGAGCATCGCTTCTAATGGATGTGAGCTCTTACTGGGAGAAATACGGTAACGGGTCCTCCGCTTCCCAAGCAAGGGACGCCAGTGAAGAGAGCGAAAGGCAAGCGGGCTCAGACCTTCTCCGCTGTATGGGAAGTGCTGGCCCGGAGGTCTGGGGCATGAAACTGCGGTTTCAAAGGCGCTAGTCTGCTGGGTGCCTTTTGTCGCCACCCCCTCCTACAAGAGCGCCTTAGACTAGCAGTTCCATGGAGGTGCAGACTTCCTTGGCTGGAGCCTGGGCTTCCTCGGGCGCGAGGCTCCCTATGAAAAGGAGCGTCTTTCTCGCCCCGACACCTGTTTGTTTCCTGTTTGTTTCCGCCAGGGAATCAAGGCCCGGGATCTGCTGCACCAGTACATGGAAAAGGCCATCCTGGAGAAACTGCAGCGGAAGGACCCGCGGGCTGATAGCGATGCTCTGGACTTCATCATGGACAGCGCCAAGGAGCATGGCAAAGAACTGACCATGCAGGAGCTGAAGGTAACCCTTGCTTCAGACCGGAGTCACCCTTGTCCCTTGCCAACGAGGAGAGTGGGAGTAAGAAAAGTGCCCCTGACCATGTGCAGAGATTTGCAGCCCATTCCAGGCCACACTCCTTCCAGGTGAGCCCAGCTGCTTGCTCTGCATGCCCCAAGCCACGAATGTGTGTCAGGATCCCTCCCAACCTACCGAAGGGGTGGCCCTTGGTCTCCCCGTGTTGAATTTCAGCTAGGCAGGAAGAGCCTGCCTTCAAAGCTAAGCAGGGTCCGCCCTGGTTTGTGTTTGCATGGGAGACCACCAGAGAAGCTGAGGGTTGCTCTGAATGTCTTTTGCCTTGAAAACCCCATGCAGGCATTGGTCAGACGGAGTCCTCTTTAGCTCTCACAGGGTAGCAGCATCATGTGCTGCGAAACCAATGAGTGCCCTACCACATCCAGAAGTCGGTCTGGAGTGGCTTTGTGTGGACTGTGGCCCTGAAGCTGACCCTTAGCGACAGGGCGGCTATTGGGGGCTCCGCCCCCTTCCTTAAAGGGCCAGCCCCCACATTTTGAAAGATTTTTTTAAAGAAAGGGGGCCACATGCAGGCCCCCACATTTTTTCTCAAAAGTATTTAAAGGGATCCTTTAAACGCTTTTGAGAAGAAGTGGGGGATGGCATGCTCCCCTCTCCCTCCCGCCTGCAAAATTTAAAGGGCCCTCCAGCTGATCCGCAGGCTATATGTTCCCCACTGAGCAGCTGAAGGGCCCTTTAAATCTTACAGGAGGGGAGGGAGAGGGGAGGCCGCCGGCAGCTGGGCTTGGGGGTGGAGTGGAGCTGACATAAAAATAATGGCAGCCCCACCAGAAACCCCCCCCCCCAATAGCCACAAAATCCTGGCTACAGGCCTGCCCTGAAGCTGTTCAAGGCACCCACTTTCCTTTCTCCAATGACTGATCATCAATGACCTGGTCTACACCAGAGTCATCAGATCATTACTCACCATCTTCAGAATTCACTTTGTGCTTTCAACTCAAGCAAAGTTAGGACTCCGTTATAACATCATGAGAATTTCGGGATAACGGATAGTGTACTTGTATCATATCTGGATCACAACTTGGCCTCAGGGAGGTCAAGAGTCCTCAAGAATCAGAGTGGGAAACTGTTGGGTTTTGAAAATTGGTTTTCAGCAGAGATAAAATAGCTTAGCAATGCCAGAGTAAAATAATTCAGACTCAGAGTCCATGTGTGTTTAAAATAGAAAGTTTTTACTACATTCTAGCATAGGGAAGGGTAACTGGGATGAAAATAACAACAGAGCTAAATTCCCTACATCCTTACACTACAAAGACAAGACTAGAAGAGAGCGATAATGGCTTCTCTACTTCTTCTTGAGAACAGCAGACAAAGATGGGAAGAGAAGCCATAAAATAGAAGCCATAAAATGCTAAAACACTTTGACACTTTGCTTCCAATGAAACTCCTAGATCAGGGATGATTTTCCCGGGCTTTTAGTTCTAAACTAACATTGGCTACATAAAACACATGTGACTTCCTGTGACAACACAAACAAACATTTAACCCCAGAAATACTGAGTGTAATTTTAACTTGTAACACCCAACAGAAACTTTTGAAAAGGAATCTCACAGATGCCGAGAGCAACAATCAGGAGGGGGAAATGATTTTGTTCACCCCACTGCCACTATAGTAAGGCTTCTCTTAGGTACAAAAAGAAAGGTGTGCAGTCCCATTTTGTCAAAGGCCCAAATTGTCATGAAAACATCAGGCTGCCTTATGTTGAATCAGACCATTGGCCCATCAAAGTCTGTACTGTCTACTAAGTACTGTCAATCATCAGTATCATCATCAACAATAACAGGCCTGTAGCTATGGTGGGGCTTTTGGGTGCTTTGCCCCCTTTCTTAAAGGCACAGCCCCACAAGAATGTCTCCTATAAATGCTTTAAAAAACTTTTTAAAAAGGTGTGCACTCCTTTACCAGAGTGGGGTTATGCAGTTGACTAATTCCCTCACTGAGCAAGGGGGTTGGAGTAGGTGGCCTCTAGGATCCCTTCTAACTCTATGTCAACTGCCTGTCAGGCAAGGCGGGGTATAAATACAAATAATAAATAAATAAGAAACTGGTCTGTTTTAAGAGAGTTTTTCTGCCTAAGTGTTAGCTTTCTTGACTATAGAAGTCATCACACCCACCTGCTGGTTTCTTACCAGAATTGTTGCTTAGACTGGCAGAAGTGATTAACTCGCAGCAGCTGATCATCTAAAGTGGTTGACAGCTTGCAGTTTAGAGATCTATCCTGGTTTCTATTGGCTAAGTGACTTTTCTTTCCGCACTGAAAACTTCAGCCCCACCAGAAAAAAATTGCCCCACAAGCCACAAAATCCTGGCTAGGGCCTGATCAAGAATCTGCTTCAGTTGCCCTGACCTGGGTAGCCCAGGTAAGCCTGGTCTCTGGCAAGTACTTGGATGGGAGACCACAAAAGAATACCTGGGCCGGGATGCAGAGGCAAGCAATAGCAAACTACCTCTCTGAAAATGTCCAGGCCCCACTAGGGGTCACCAGAAGTCAACTATGACTTCCAGGCACACACACAAATACTCACCAAAAAATTCTACTTCAGTTTATACAGGTCATTTCAGTGTGTGTGCAGCCTTTTACAGATGAAACTGGTTTATAGTCAGTCTGTCTGAGGTCAGCACTGTCTACTCTGATGGGCTGCTTTCCCTATCACCTGCTTTTTGCGCCTGTTAGCTGGGGATGCTGGGAATTGAACCTGGGACCTTCTGCATGTGAGGCAGATACTCTGCTACTGAGCCATAGTCCCGCTGAGTCATGCTGAAGATGAGCACGGTATTCCTTTTAGGTTAATCGGTGGAGAAGATTGTGTGTCTGTGGCAGGCTGCCAGGCAACAGATTTGATGCTTAGCTATAAACTGACTGACCTCCTGCTTTCGTCTTGAGTGGAACCCAGGGCTAGGTGTTCAGATATTTGCTGCCAGTGGTTCAAAGTTGGGTTACTTATTCACCTTGATCTCCACAATTCCTGCCACTCTTCTAAATGGGTTGAATGGAAATCATGCTGGTTTTATTGCCTTGGGACCTCTTTCTTAAATGAACACAGTACAACAGGAGCAAACAGCCTTGAGCGAAACCTATTTTCCTTTAAACGTGCCGTTGGGCATGCCGTCCATTTTGAGGAAGGCCAGGCCTAAGCACCACAGGGGAAGCAAATCTGGCTGCAACCAGAGGTGTTCCCTCCCCTGTTAACCTGCAGTTATAGGATGCCTCTCCTCCCAGACCCAACCGCAAAACCGCATCGGTGGGATATTCCTGTATGAAAGCCATACACAAAAAAAGTGGTTAGATCGGCACTCGCTTTGAGATGCAATAGTCCCAGGGATTTTATTGTAGAAAAAGACCAGCAGGAACTCTTTAGCATAATAGGCCACACCCAACAGCAGAAACTCATTAGCATATTAGGCCACACCCCGACAGCACGGCTCATCAGCATATTAGGCCACACCCCCATGTTACCAAAAGTGTGGCTATCCAGCCACACCGACCTTTTGCTTCTTATTCTGTTTACCTTGTTTGTTGTCAAAACCCAGGGCTATTTTTGTAGCAGGAACTCCTTTGCATGTTAGGCCATACACCCCTAATGTAGCCAATCCTAATGAGTTTCTGCTGTTGGGTGTGGCCTATTGTGCTCATGAGTTCCTGCTGGGCGTGGCCAACTCGGTAGCCAGCCGGAACTCCGTTCCTGTGGGTTCCTGCCCAAAAATAGCCCTGAATAGTCCAATTGGAATCCACTGGAATGGTCAAGAATAAAAGCTTCCAGGATCCCAATATTAACCAAAATCACACATCAGTGGGATTTTTAAGAGGGTTACAGAATGCCGGTCTTCATATGATACAAGCCAGGAAGAAGGAAAAGGAGTTCAGATAATGAAATCTATTTGCGGGGCCATTGGATCAGCTATGTGTCATGGCCAGTGTTCCCTCTAAGCTGAGTTAGGGTGTGCTAGCTCACAGTTTTTTATCCTCCAGCTCACACATTTTTGCCTTGGCTGAGGAAGGATGGCTCCAGAGCAAACTAATTTGTGCAGTAGCCAAATTGCTTGCTCACAGCTTTAATGCCATTAGCTCATAAAGTAGAATTTTTGCTCACAAGACTCCACAGCTTAGTGGGAGCATTACTTCTGTAAAGGAAGCTTTATCAGGTCCTGTGCATATCTCAGCAAAGCCAAGGACAACTCTGAATGTCATTGGGAGAGGAATGAAATAAGCTATACAGCCAACCTTTAAAACATTGTCAGGCGATGTTACACTGCAATTTGAAGTTCCCTCACTTTTTTTTTCCTGTTTCAATTTTTTTTATTTGTCACAAAAGTCATTTATCGAGACGCAGTAACATAGAGGTGCATCTCAACAACATTCCAAAATTTCATCAGAATCAAAGAGGATCTAAACAATTCAGTTAAGAGATCTTCTACAATTCAGTATAACATCAATGGCTTTAAGTCTACAGAATTAATTAAGCAAGGGAAACAGATAATGATCTTTCCCAACAAACTGTTGTGATAGCGCCTCACAACAGTAACCACATGATAATGTGAGTTTTCAGGTAGTATATCATGTGTAGTAAGAAACGAGAATACTGGGAACCAGGTTGAGTCAACTTTGGAAAGGGAGGACTGGCGAATGTTGTGCTCTATAAACCTTAAGCAATGAGGGAAAACAGTATGGGATGGGAGTCATTAAATCTGAATAAACGCACTGCATGAAAAAGCATTTGCACGGATGTCTCTTGATGCCTTGTCTTGCAGGAGTCTGCAATTGAGCTGATATTTGCAGCTTTCTTCACGACGGCCAGCGCGAGCACTTCTCTGATCCTCCTCCTCCTGAAACACCCCTGGGCCATCCAGAAGATCCGGCAGGAGCTGGTGTCCCATGACCTCCTCAGGCAGTGCCGCTGCTTCATCGCTGGCCGGTCCCCGACAAGCCAGCAGACCTGCCAAGAGACGGCAGGTGAACGAGAGGCTCAAAGCGAGGACTCCCAGGCACCTCTGCCACCCAGGCTGGAATGGAAAGCCGGTACAGACCCAAGAGGGGAGGGGAGAGCTTCTCCCTTGCCTCACATGGACAGATTAGTCCAGAAAGCAAGTGGAGGCAGGAGCACAGGCTTGGAAAGACGGGAGGAAGCGGGCCAGCTCTTTGGCAGGCCGGAAGGACCCGAGTGTGACTGCCATTCTTACCTGACTCTGGAGAAGATGAGCCGCTTGCGCTACCTGGACGGCGTCATCAAGGAAGTGCTCCGTTTGCTGCCCCCGGTGTCTGGAGGCTACAGGACAGCCTTGCAGACTTTTGAGCTGGACGTGAGTTGCCTGGCTGCTTTGGGCAAAGGTTCCTCTCGTGGATTGGTGCGGATATTGTTTGATGGGGTTGGGCTGGATTGCACAAGGCCCACCCTGACCACTCTGTAGGGGTATGAGAAGCTGCGGCTGACTGGAAGGGAGTCCCCAGAGGTGCCCTGGCCCGTGAGGCTCTCTTGCTTAGGAGCAGTGGAGGCAGGGGGCGAGCGAGTTATGACAGTGAAGGATCCCAGTGAAGGGTGGGCAAGTGAATGCAATCCATGTGAGTGGAACACAGGAGGAGCGATAGTGAATGGGGGTCCTCTCAGGTGTGCATAACTGCTTAGCATAGCTGTGTGAACAGAAAGGTGCTCAGAAAAAGCCCTGTCAAATGTTCATAAGCCATAGAGTAAGGAAGCCACTGCAGAGCTCCTCACGACAACTTTGTGAGTAGGCCTCAGAGTGTGTGACTGGTCCAAGGTTACCCAGCAAGCTTCTATGTGGGGAATTGAACTTGTGTCTTCCAGATCCTAGTCTAAGCGCTACCCCACACTGGCTCTCACACTGGTAGGGTGCAATTTTAATACATCACCCAAGTGTCTCTGCTCGGACCTATTGCTAATTAGAGCAGGATCGCAGCCAGAGAAAGGTCTTCGGCTCTTGGATCAGGTCTTTCAGGTGCATTGCAGAGCCCCACCCACCTCTCTGGGGCAGCTGTTCTTTGCTGCTAGAACATGTGTATCCCATCCCTCCTACCTCCATTTGCCAAAACACAACAAGATGAGGTCACTCGGCAGTGAAGAGGTTGCCTAATTAGCACAGGCAGGTTCAGACTTGTTGATTCCTCCTCTTCCTGTCACATGGTGGTGATGCCATGTGACTTCCTGCCATGGGCTTGTAGGCCAGTGAGGTCCATGCTGGAGTCCAAGGTAAGTCCCAGTCTGGAAAAATTAAAGACCTCTGGCCAACTATTTAATTTATATCAACATTTGTGGCAAGGACAAAGGTTACGGTTCAGTGGGTGGGGGATTATATAACACTCTGTTGTGGAAAGGTGACTTTGTTTTCTGTATCAGAGCATTTTTTTCATCAGGAAGTTAGCAGGATGGAGAAAGATGGTTACAATGAACATATATTTTTATAAGACTTTTCTTCTTGGACAGGGGCTCCGTAGAACTGTTGAAGTGCTTTTTACACACACACACACCTGCCTCGTTTGGAACAGGTGCTGTGTCAAATGATGTGAATGGTAGTGCTAGAATCCACACTTTTAAAACTGTTCTTTCTAAACCTATGATCAATACTCTACTCATTCAATAAACTCCCAGGACAAATAAAGCAGATGCTTGCAATATTCTATGTAAGGTAAAGGTTCCCTTGTTCGAAAGCCAGTCGAGTCCGACTCTAGGGTTACGGTGCTCATCTCCGTTTCAAAGCCAAAGAGCCAGCACTGTTCGAAGACATTTCCGTAGTCATGTGGCCGGCATGACTAAACACCAAGGCACATGGAACGCGGTTACCTTCCCACCGAAGTGGTACCTATTTATCTACTTGCAATTTCTTGCTTTCGAACTGCTAGGTTGGCAGGAGCTGGAACTAGAGACGGGAGCTCACTCCATCATGTGGCAACTCAGGTCTCAAACTGCTGAACTACTGACCTTCCACAGCCTGCAGTTCAGCGTCTTAACCACTTGAGCCACCGCAGCTCCAATATTCTATGTACCAAGGTCCATATTTATATGAATGAGCTCTGTCTTTGCAGGAGAAAGCATGAGATGTGATGGTCAGAGAAAGGGACACCTCTAGTCAGAGAAAGGGACACCTATTTGGCTGACTTAGGTTTAACCAGATTGTTGGTCTATTTAGCCCTGTACTGAGCCAGCATGGTGTAGTGGTTAGCGTGCCTTGATTAGAATCTGGGAAACCCAGGTTCGAATCCCAGCTCTGCCATGGAAGATTGTTGGGGGACCTTGGGCCAGTCACACTCTCTTAGCCTAACCTACCTCACAGGGTTTTGTGAGGATAAAACGGGAGAATGTTAGCTGTTTTGGGAGGGGCTAGTGGGGGGAAAGGTTAGGTATAGATGATGCAAATAAGTAAATCATAAGCAAAATACTGTCTACTCGGGTTGGCAGTGAACTCCAGAGAAAGGTCTTTCATGCCAGCTACTTAAAGTTCTTTTTGCAATAGAGGAGGATGTCAAACTGCATGAGGACAAACTTAAGGACATAAGAGAAGCCAGGTTGGATCAGGCCAATGGTCCATCCAGTTCCACACTCTGTGTCACACAGTGCCCCAAACCCAGGTGCCACCAGGAGGTCCAACAGCAGGACCAGAACTCCAGACCCCCCCACACACTGTTGCTCCACAAGCACCACGGATATAGAGCATCACTGCCCCAGACACAGTGTTCCATCTATGCCTTGCAGCTAATAGCCATTTATGGACCTCCATATGTTTATCTTTTATGCTTCTATGCGAAATGTCCTAAGAACAGCAATAGAAAGTTTTGAGAATCCTTGAAGGGGGTGGGGGAGTGCTGCAACCCCAAAGATGCTCCCCTGGTAACTTTCAGGCAATAAGGATGAGCCAAACGTTCTAATGCTGAGGTCTAAGCCCAGTCGTCCCCCCCCCCAATCAAAGGGAGAGCTCTGGGGGAAAAGATGGTGCTTTGCAAAATGCCCTGGGTCTCAGCAGATCACATGAGTGTTTCACTTGGATCACTAAATAAAGCAATGTGGCTTTCAGGGGAAGTGCCCTTCAACTGTGATCCATGCATCGCTGAAATATCGGCTGCCTGAGTCCTAATAACATCTGTGGGGCTCAAGAGTGGCAACTCGGATATAAGGACTTGACAGCTCAGATAATGAGGACAAACGGTTCAAACTGGGGTGGGTGTTCTCAGCAGGTTCCCCTCGGCAGGCCGCTGTCTCCAATCCTGATTTCCTTTTCTTTCCTTCCTGTAGGGCTACCAGATTCCCAAAGGATGGAGTGTCATGTACAGTATCAGGGACACGCACGAGACTGCCAGCATCTATCAAAGTCCCCCAGATACCTTTGATCCTGAGCGCTTTTGGGTGCCCCAGGAAGAAGGCGAGGAACACAAAGCACCCAGCTCTGTCCGTTTCCACTACATCCCCTTTGGTGGGGGAGTCCGGAACTGCATTGGCAAGGAACTGGCCCAGGCCATCCTCAAGCTGCTTGCCATTGAGCTGGTCAGCACAGCCCGCTGGGAGCTGGCCACCCCTCACTTCCCCAAGATGCAAACGGTGCCCATTGTGCACCCCGTGGACGGTCTGCAGCTCTATTTTCATCCCCTGAAGCCCGGAAGGGAAAGCGGTGAGCCAAACAAGGCAGAAACTTGAACACCATTGGAATCTCAACTGCGTGTCTATAGTCTCCAGGTTAGGATCACAGCAGAACATCCATCTGGGAGAAAAACACTAGATCCCAGGGCCAGCGTAAGGCTCTCCTTTCTATCTGTTGAGCATGGCAGGGGGAAAGGACTAGGTCCCTGTCCTTGGTCCTTAATGGCCTATTAAAATCCATGCACATTGAGAGGTGTGGCTCCACGGTGAGAACCCCCATTGTAATAATCAGTTGCACTTTTTGTTAATTTAATGTGTGCGTCATACTACATTGTAATTTGGTTAAGGGAAGTTATGCTTCATGGCTAGATGTTTCAGAAGGAATCCTAGAAACACTGCTGTTGATTTTTACGAAGGAGTCATCACGTTTGTATAGGTATGCTGGAATTCAATTAGATGAAAGTGGACCTCATCTGACCCCCAGTGAACATTCTTCAGGGTCCTCACAGTTCAGAAGGCAGCTTCTGCCTCATTGTCCCTTGACAAGGCAACAACGTTTGAGTTTCTGATAGGAAGGAACATAAATGAACTAGCTGTCTACAGAATGGGTATACCATAATGGCAACACATTTCATTCATGGATGGAAATGTAAGGAAATATTGGCATATCAACCCAAGATTTCCATGGTCTGAGGGGTATGCTTCATTGTACAGATCTCTGTGAACCCAGGACAGAATGTAAGATTCAAAGGGATAGCAGAGGAAAGGAAGATTTATATTTCAAATTCTTAGGATCCGGTTCTTGTATAAGTCCTATAAAACATCTTAGAAGGTAATCCGCCTAATCGAGCATTTGTATTAAAAGGGAGAAAGTGAATTTTGCATGGTAGCTGACTCATCTGCTGGGTTGCACTGATTTGGGTTGGCCTTAAATTTCAAACATCACAGAATGCAGAATCTCTGATTCTGAGAAACTGTGACGGGGAGCAATTATGTGGCCAAGGTTCTTCTATTTGGTTCACACATGTATGTATGCTTCTTTCTTTCTTCCTCATTGCTGAGTATGTGAGTCAACTGGCAAACATAGATCTCGAAGTGATATGAGGTAGTACATAATTTTGTACTGGGACCAATGTTCCCTCTAAGCTGTGGAGTCTTGTGAGCAAAAATTCCACTTTGTGAGCTACTGGCATTAAAGTTGTGAGCGAGCGATTTGGCTACTGCATCAATTAGTTTGCTCTGGAGCCCACCTTCCTGAGCTAAGACAAAAATGTGTGAGCTGGAGGCTAAAAAACTGTGAGCTAGCTCACATTAACTCAGCTTAGAGGGAACACTGACTGGGACTGATTCAGACATGCAAGTCGTTGCTTGATACTGCAGCCATCAAATGACGAATGTGCATGTACAAGATGGCCCTTAAGACTAAACTCGGTCAAGTCTTGTACCCAAGCTGCTCGCTATACCTTCCAGCAGAATAAGGCTGCCTTGCTGAATTCACTAGCAGCTCCCTCCACAGAACAATTCCATAACAATACATATATCTGAATAAAATTCAGAGGAGTAGTTAGATTAGCCAGTTTGGCACAAACAAGCAGGAACCTGGTAGCACCTTAAGGACACATCCATATAAAGAAAATCCAACCTAAGCTTCCATGGGCGAAGGGAGCCTTGACCCTGAAGCTCTCGTTGGTCTCTTTGGTGCTACTGGACTCAAACCTAACTGTTCTACTGCAGACCAAGATGGCTACCCTCCCTGAAGACAGGTCCAGATGGGTAGCCGTGTTGGTCTACAGCAGTAGAACAAGGTTTGAATCCAGTGGGGCACCTTTAAGACCAACCAAGATTGATTCAAGGTATGAGCTTTCGTGTGCACACACGCTTCCTCAGATACAATGAAATCTTGTATCCTATGATATACAGTGAAATCAGGTACAGAATGGTAAATGCCATTTCATTGTATCTGAGGAAGTGTGTGTGCCCATGAACGCTCGTACCTTGAATGGATCTTTGTTGGTCTTAAAGGTGCCACTGGGCTCCAGGTTTGTCCTATGGCTACCCTCTGAAACTGAGCCTACCACAAAACTCCTGTTCATGTTTTAATCAGTTTCCACATCATTACAGGTGTGGACTGTGGATTGTTTTAATTTGTGAGCACATCCCTTTGGGGAGGAAGGTCATCCACAAAGTCACTTGTGCCGAAAGGGTGGTTTCTGAAGTCTATGAAAGAATTTGGGCCAAGGCCTCCCTTAGTGACCCCTGCCTGTTGCTGAGCAGGGCACCCCTGGGAGAAGGCCTTTTGGGTATGCTGAGGCCTGCTCTGCAAGCAGAAATAAATGATATTGTGTAAGAGGAGTGGTATATGTGGAAACACACACACCTGTACTAGGAATCATGGGGGCTATTCTGTTAGGAGTGTCTGAGTAGGTAGAATCTTGCTTTGGTATCAAGGACTAGATTTAGGACTTGTCAGTGGTCCTACCAGATATCTAGTTAAAGCTACCGTGACCTGCCTAGGCGCAGGAGGATTGTGCCATGTAGAGGAAGAGAGTCAGACTGTGAGTTGTGGCTTAGAAATTGATGTTTTTTTTTTAAAAAATTGAAATGTGCAGCTGGTTCAAAATTGCTGTATTAATTCTAGGATTTTCATTACAGCAAGAAAAACAGTTGTATCGCAAGGCTATTTATCGAAGAGGTGATAAGTTAGTGTCTTGTATCTATTTGACTTGCAAGTGGGGGCACACATGCTTGAATGTTCTGCCATAACCCCCCCCCCCCGGCCCCGGCACTTAAAAAGAACATTTAGGGGGGAAGCTAGTCAGCTTTCTAATGTACAAATTTTCTGTCTGCAGGGAATCTTGGAAGGAGGCGCATTCAGTCATTAAGCCCTTAGCGACAGTGTAATTGTATAGCCCACAAGGTTTATCACCTCAGTGAGCATCAGACTTCAGCTGCCACACTTTGACGGGTTCCTCGCACTTCACTCTGTGCCTGTTGCTCCTCCTTAGAGGAGGTTCATCAGATATCGAATAGTGTCGTATGTTTAAACTGTACTGTGGCAACCACTATGCTGCTCCTAGTGTTAAAAGGATTAGCAATCTACATTCAGGGCAACTTCTGTAGCAAACTTATTTACAGGTAAAATTCCTGTGCAGGGAAAAAGGTCTGTCGGGAATAAACATTGGTAAATGATTGTTGTGTTTAGTTTTTGTTAACGATGTTTCCCAGAATGCTGACTTGGAGTACGGGATTCAGAAAACCTTCAGTTTTCTACACATGGCTGTAAGGGACTAATGGTACCATTTAAAGCAGAATCACACCCTTCTGGATAGCCCGAGCTGGCCCAATCCCATCAGATCTCGGAAGCTAAGCAGGGTCGGCCTTGGCTAGTATTTGGAAAGGTGACCTTCAAGGAATACCAGGGTTGACGCACAGGCAGGCAATGGCAAACCACCTCTGAAATGTCTTGCCTTAAAAACAAGTCTAGCTTGCCATCCAGTGGTGCATAATGCTAAAAGAGCTAGAACTGCTGGATCCCAGGCAATCTTAGGATCTCCTGGCTACACTACCACCAATGCCATACAATTATAACAACAGCACCCTTCTACATCCATTGGACTTGGAAGGGTGTAATTGTGTGTAAGATTGCAATATAAGAGCCAGTGCACACATTACCTTGACCACAGGTGTGCTATAGGAAACAGCAACTCTGGTAAGATTTGCACACAAAGTATTCTACTGTCACTGAAGCTGAAATTGGTTTAAAACATAAGTATTCCAATAAAGGGAATACAACTGCTGGCCTCCTAGCTGGCAACAACCCAAATCTAATATTAAGGCTGAAAAATGATTCATCTGTAACAATAAGAACTGAGTCTGAAGCCCTGACCTCAATAGCCCAGGCCAGCCCTGTCTCGTCAGATCTCGGAAGCTAAGCAGGCCTGACCCTGGCAAGTACTTGGATGGGATTCCTCCAAGGAATACCAGGGCCGGGATGCAGAGGCAGGCAATAGCAAGCCACCTCTCTGGAAAACATCCAGACCCCGCTAGGGGTCATCAGAACCACAACCAGGACGTACACACACACACACACACACTCACAAAAAACAGAACTGAGTCTGAAGACACTGATGCTTTGATTTCTATTTAACGGAAAATCCAATTTTAAATTAAATTGGCCGTGGTCTACATTTTGGTCAGAGGTAGAAGGGGAACACAGAGGAACTCCGAGGCATAGCAAGACAGCCAGACAACAAATCCCCTGGGAAGCCGGGTTTCCCCAAGGAGTTTACAATAAGTTCTTGGGTATCTTCTGGCCTTATCAAGTATGACTGTTCAAATCAGGTTCTGCAAGCTGATATGATTCTTCCTGGAAAGAAACCCTAACAGAACCCATAGAAAAATCAT